CTTCGATCCACTCGGACACTAACTTCCCATATCAACCACCAAATACAGATTAATTAATTGAAAGATTATTATTTGGTTAAGCAGACCACGAAAACTAATGAATTATATAAAACACTAATAAATGAAAACTATTGGATAAAGGTGAGTTTATAATGAGACCAAGACTCAAATAAACATTAATATTCTCACGCTGGTAAAAACTATTGACGGAAAAAAGAATAATATAGGAAAAACAACCAACCTTAATTGACTGTGCAAGTAAAACAATTTAGTTTTTTTATTGTTTTAATATTTAGCAACACTGCGGTCAATCCTATCAACCCCAATACAGTATTCATTACATCCCGCCATCCTTTTAACAAACTTAGACTTCCTTCTAAACCTCCAGCACTTACTACTTAAATTCACTAGTTTCTTTGGAAGAGTATAATTTATCTATTGTACTAAGGTTCTCTCCCAGCTACCAGAAGGTAGGTATCAGAGGCTACTTGTGACCTTACACCAAAGATTTACTTTTTGTGTAATAGAACTTAACAGACGATATAAAACTCAACATCTAACTTGACAAAAGATCCAATGCCCCAGGGTAAAATAAACCTATCATCTAGACATCATCACGAAAACCAATCTGGGCCTCCAATATCCTTCGAAACATATGGTCGTCATTTTGCTGCCATTACTTGCCAAAATTCTTTTTAAAAAAATTCTTAAACACAGTATACCATCTATCTTCAGGCGATATGAATCTACCATTCAACAGTGATGGATAGACATAATTGCATCTTTTTTTGAACGGAGATTACACTGCTCTGGTGCTTTCCTTGCAAAAGTCAAAGTGGATGTTTGCAAGACAAAATCCCCAGTCCATTTCTTTATTCAGTTTGCAATACGAATAATCCTGTTATCCTATGCTGTCCCCTTGTCATATAGAGATAGTAAACCATCTTTTCAATAAAACCCATACCCAATAGTGGATTTTCAAAACCTCGAAAAATCATATGTCCTGTTTCGAAAGACGTTTGTCGTGAGGGAAACTTTCAAACGAGTGGGTACCCATGCTTGCCCTCAAAATTCATGGACATCCTTCATTCACTGCATTATTCAAATACAAATAAGAACATCCTTTTCCCCCATCCAATATGCCAAAGCGTGGGGTTTTTCAAGGCAGCGTCTTCCGCCCCATTCTGTGGTCAGTATACAGTACAGACATTGCTATCAATTCCGGTACACGACCTGACATCTTTTAACAAAACCCTATCTCATTAATGACCTTCAGAAAGCTCATGGGTCATCTTTGCTGTATAAAATAATTAATTAATTTAAAAGTTCTTTATAGAATCATCGTAACCAAATCTCACAAAATAACCTTCACCCTCTGTATCAACCCTCATCCAATTTTTTACGACTTCGAATTCCTGGTTCCTCACCGGGCAGACGGAATAAAAAAATCTCCTAATATATTTATTGTAATAAGAGTTGTATACTTTTCTATACATTTTAATTTATGTAATAATGTAGTTCATTCAAGAGGTATGTCGACGTTTATATACAATTAAATCAATTTTTGAAATGTATTTATTTATTAATTATTTTGTTCATGTGATAGTTGAAAAAGGAAACGTGACAGCTGAACGCTGCAAATTCGTATATTGATCTGAAACCGTCAATGGCGAAGGGTTGTTCGGTATTTTATTCTTGCCTGATTAAATATCGATAAATGTCAGATTGTCTAATGTGAAATTCTTGTTTTATTCTTTTCTCCTTTTATCAAAACGAAGGTGGCCCATAAATAACAGCACGAACTAACAGGTTCATTGAAAAGTTCACGTAAAATAATAGAATTGCCTTGGAACGAAAAACTTTCTTATTGTTCAATGCGAATTTACACAATTAATCTACACACTAACACTTTTCTCTTTCTCTCTCTCTCTCTCTCTCTCTCTCTCTCTCTCCCTCTCTCTCTCGTTCTCTTTTCCTTTCTCTATCTTTTTTGATATTTCAGTAAAAAATCTAATTTATTTCGTAAAAACCTGATTTTGGCAAGATGTAATGCAATGTAAAATTGGTTAAAATTGTAAGAAATTTTCTCAAATTATGGTATAAATTTGTCTATTTCAACATTTACAATATCAAATTAAGTATATTATATAGTTAGTTTGAAGATATAATCTTAATTTAAAGTACATTTATACTAAAAATTATCGTTTCGTCTAATATGTAAAATGTTTGGCGAGGTGTGGACACAAATAGCATACCCTGCGTGAAAAAACTAAGCGATACCAAACATAAAGTTATAATGCATGAAAAAAATCATCAATGTTTTTTTTTCTTGATTATCTCAACAGTTGTAGTTACTTCAATAAATTATCTATATTGAATATAGAATCACCTAATTTTTTAAGGAAAATGTATTGATTTTTTTTCGTGTAGATGAAAATACGAAAATTAGAAAAACGACCAGTAGATCTACTTTTCAAATTCATCGAAACAGTCCACAAGGATTTGTGAGACATATACCATTATACTTGATATGATTTGGCCTGATTTCATAACTTCATGTATGATCATTGTAAGAGAACGTCTGATAATTAACAACTGCCTAGATCAACTGTTGTATTCAATTAGAAAATCTTTCAAGTGGAATTCTGACAAAACTACCAAGCGGGACGTGAAATATATCAAAATATACACACCGAAACCAATGGTTGACCTCTATTTTCACTTGTTTACTGTTTATTTTGAAGCCTAAAACCGCACATATTTCTTTTCTTCCAGAATATTTTCTCTTCTTCTAGGATATTTCTTTCCGTCAGTTTTGTCAAGATAAAAATTAAGTCAATAATTTTTGGTACATTTCATTTGCTAGTTTGCCAATTAGTATATGTTTATCATGAGAATCTATAGCAATAGCTAGTACAAGGAGCCGCATTGCAAACAAACAGAACAACAGAAACAATGGTAACTCAAAAACAAAACAAAAAAAGGAATTTATGTCTTTCATTTACTCTTATCTGAGATCTTATCTTAGTAGAGTCGATAAGTCTTCAAAACAAATCACATAAGAAAACTCATTCATTTAAAAATAAAACAAGATGATTAATTGACTGGGTTTTATCGCCAAATATAATTTTGCTTGGGTACATTTATGAGAAAATGTCAAAGAACTATAGTCAGAAACCCTTCGTTTATATAACTTGTTAACTTATGCTTTAAGTTTCACGTCAGAAACAATCTATCAAAACCTACAGCCAAAAACCAGCGAGGTTGACGTGAAAAACAACAGTTTTTTGTCCATTTCAAAACGTTTAACGTGAAAATTTATTAGCAGTCTAACTTTTAGTTTTAATAAATAATTTTAAAAAGTTTTATGTTTTCATTTCAGGTTAAGTATAATATTATATTGAAGTTAAACGAATTAAAACCAATAAAATGCTAACAAACTCTTTCAGAAATGAATTTATATACACAAATATAAATAAGGCAATTACCATAAACAAAAAATTAAAAATGTATATATTTTTTTTCACTCGGTTCGGTTTAATATTCACAAAATTAATAATGTTAGGAGAATATTGTTGCCCGAATTGACAATTAATTTTTGATGTTAGATCCAATCTCAATAGCACTTCACAATAGCAAAACACGCAGTTAAAAACAATTTGTGTTAATGTTCCAAATAGAAACGCACAATGCCCAAAATAATACAATACCAAAATTCCGCTATTCCTAAGATAGTTTTGATTTAAAAAATCAACTTTTCTTCATTATAGTATGAGAAAAATTCGAAAAAATCGAGGAGGACAATTGAGGGTTATTCGTCCATACCGAAACGAATGTGAAAATTCACTGAAATAATCTGACAATTGGTTTTATTAACCCGAATATATTGTAAAAAGATTTTGTGTATTTACCGCATATTCAATTTGAAGTCGAACCGATAAAAATCCAACAAACCAGTACAGCGGTAATTTACACACAAATACGCCAATTACTCCAAATGTAAATCTAAAAAAGGCAATATATAATTTTTTTCGGTTCAGTTAAAAGATCACGAAGTGAACGATTTTTAGGAGAAGAATGTTGTCCGTATTTGCCCAACCAATCAATTTCTATTCGGGATTCCGACGCAATAGTAAAACGCGACACAACAAAAAAAATCCAACCATCGATTTTTATAAGTAAAATGAAAATTTCAGATGCCGAAATAATAAAAAACAAATAGAAATTATCTATCGATGTTTATATAAATAAAAAGTTAGCGAAAACTTACAGTACATTATCAAACCAGCAAGTCATACCTACATGGAAAAATAGTACCTATTTATATTTTTCCGATTGGTTAATAAATCACCAAAAGAAAAATCTTCGGGGGGAGTATGTTTATGTTTTTTTAACAATTATAAAATATAATTAATTATTCAATTAATTAAGGTTTTTAGTTGAAATAAAAAAGTAAGTGTAACGAGCGGGATTCGAACCCACGACCTTCGGCTATTGGGTTCGAATCCCGCTCGTGTCACTGACTTTTTATGTCAGGTAAAAACCTTAATTAATTGAATGATATTAATTGGTCAAGCGGACCACGAAAAATAGTGAATTTAATAATTAATTATTTAACTTATTTAAACCCAACAAGTTAAGTATCACAATAAAAAAAGTTATGAAATCGAAATCTTTAATTTTCGTCTGTTTGTAACCGATAAAGGATAGAAAGTTTTGGACTTTTTTTTTTCATTTTTTGTTATGAACAACAATCCACAAAAACCTGGTCGTATTTATGTGATTTATAAGAGAATCTAACGTACGATAAAATTTTAAAAAAATATTTTGACTCAATTGTTTTTAAAAAAATATTATTCTTATTAGGTTTGTAAAAGCGTAGAGAAAAATTGATTGCGATTAATTTGATATTATTTTTCACATTAGTTTTATGGTATAAATATGACGTCCAAGATGGTACGGTGGATTTTAGGCTTTAATTAGGTTATTGTCGTACTCACCCAAGTCGAGACAAGTAATCCAAGGAGGGAGGAAAACCACGACAAACACGATAAACCACATGGTCAACAGAGGAGTTGACTTGCATCCATTTCACTGAACATCCGGGCTCGACTGACTGTTCTGCGGCCCCCACTCGTGACAGGGGCCACCTGTTGAGCCGCCCCACTCCGTCCTGTTCCACCCCCGCGGCGGCAAAATGATACAAATGATCCCCCAGCCCGACCACCGCCCGTCCCCATCACAACGAGCTTCCGGATTTTTGATAAATGGGATTATTTCCAACGCACTGGCGTGGCGTGAGCGACCTCTAAATTGTTTATTCTTGAAAAAAAGGGACACAGTTATTTCCTCACTCGGCTTGCCCCTTGCAGCTGTACGGTCGACTAATGTTTATGCTTGTTGTGACAGTGATAATAACAATAAACTCTTTTCGGTTGAAGTCATGCTGCTGGATCTTTACTAGTAGAGTAGATGATAGACAGCCAACAATAAACCATAGAAAATTTAGTAGTTGTTTCGAATCCGGAGTAGTCAGGCCGGAGGAAAATGAAAGCGGCGAAATCCTATGGGCATGATCCCAAATGAGGAGTAATAAGTCTCTTAAGAAGAAGGTCATTGGCAGTTACTGCAATGATTCCAGGTCATTTTGGTCCCCTAGTAAGCCTCCATTGAGAGGTTGCTCTGCATTCCAAAAAACATTCGTGGTAGGTTCTTCGTCCCTATTTCATAACGTACACATGGCATCATCGTTAAATGATAGAAGAGCAAAATAAACTGCCAAATAGGCTAAGGAGGAGGCCTGTACAACAGGAGAAGGCTTTATAACGTAATATAATAATGTAACAAAGTACTGTGAAAATAAAGCAAGAAAAAATAAACAATGAGGAAAGATTAAAGCAATGGTATCTTCTCAAACTTCAACATTAGCATGCCTTTAGGCTCGTCGGTCTTTGTGTCTATTTACCACCTTTTCCAAAACACTGTATTTCTTTCTCATTTGCTCTCTCTCTCTCTCTCTCTCTCTCTCTCTCTCTCTCCTCTCTCTTTCACTCCCTCTCGCTCCCTTTAATGAAGCTGAATTATGAATTTTTAAAAAAACTTGAAATACGTAATAATAATAATTATATATATATTATATATATATATATATACATAGAGAGAGAGAGAGAGAGAGAGAGAGAGAG